ATCATAAAATCTTTTCACCATTTGCCCTCGACTCAACCATCTCACTTCTGAAAAGTGAATGACGTTGCCACAGTCTGCAGCAGGACTTTTAAGGAATCCCTGGAATTGCTGCTGATTCCATCCCTTCATCCTTATGAAACACACAATCTTGATGACAATTTGCGTGACAGTGTCCATTTAAAGCTTTTTCTTTTTCCTGACGTACTGTGCAGAGGCATTTCATCCAGTGTGAGTTTGGGGCAACAATTGCATCGTCTTCTACTAATTCTGTAAGTCTCTCTCTTGTACCTGTCATCACTGGGGCACCATCGGTAACCATGGTGACAATGGACAAAGAAAGTCGCTTTAATTTTTTTTTACTTCCTTGTATAACTTCTTGACTTAGTTGTCTTTTAGTGGCACGAAAGAGGCCATTTCTTCAGTGACATTATATTTGTCATCCATACCTCTAATAAAATGGCAAGTTGAGCTGTATGTGTAGCATCAGTGTCGTCATCCATCACTAAAGCATAGAATTTAAAATTAGCAGCTTTACTCTCCGACCCTCTTTTCATACATTTTCCAGTTTCTTCAGTTTAACTGGCTATGATCTGGTGACACAAACTGATTTTAGAAATCTCTTTCTTTCTTTCAGGGCAAATATTATCTGCCATGCTTTCCGTACATTGCTGAATAAACTCACCATCAGTAAATGGTTTTGATTTTTTGCTATTAAACATGCTACCATGTAACTAACTAGCTTCATCCAAGCCCCTTCAACAAGGAGGGTGAGTGTGCTACAGGAAGACTACAATGGATGCCACAGGAACACAAAGTCACAAGAATTCACCATAGGATCTGAAATTCATTTAGATAGGAGGCACTGAGGAGTCTCAGACCCCTAAAAGAGATAGCCACCAGGGAACAACCAGGTGACCACCATTCAATGCTTTGATGACATTTTCTTATGAAGACATTTCTGTAAGTGCTTCAACTAACACCCCAACTTATCTAAGTCCCAAAGAAAGAGAAGCCTCCTGTAGTATGAGGAGCTGCCTCTAATACTGTCATTCTTGCCTCACCATGACACACACCAAGGTCAATTGTTTTTCTCACTACAAAGTAATTTATCCCTCAGAGTAAATTCTCACTACAAAGTAAATTTATCCCTCAAAGCCAAGTGATCAAGTAACATAAGAAAAAGACAGCAGAGTTTTATACCTAAAAGGAGTCTGCTCATGACGCTGTAGACTGCACAAGGAAAACAGAAGACCCCAAAGGGGTGTGAGTATCACCTTTTTCTGAGCTCCTTACTGGGGCTGAGTCATCAGAGGCCCCTTGAGGTTTTGCACGTGGTGCTGAGACAGCAGAGAAGGAGGAGGAGGAAGGTAGGCGGAGCCGGCTGTGGCCAGGACAGACAGCTGACATGTTTTGTTTCTGAACTTTTTATCTAAAGGTATCATTTTTACTGAAACTAAAGAACTTGACCTTACCTACTGAGCTTTTAGTGAAACTAATAAGCTTAACCAAAGTTATAACTTAATGAAGGACACACAGTATCTCCAGAGAAACAAGTGAAAAGGAGATTGCATAATATTCAGAAATGCCATAAAAAAGAACTCTAAGAAAGGAGAGTTTCACTGGCCAAAAATGGGTTAAAACCCACATTTTGGTCTGGCCTTATTTTCTAACCTCCCAGCTTTCCAGCTGACCAACTACACACAATAGGCCCAAAGCCCTGTGTTCTCTCCACAGGTGGAATAAGATGGGAAATCCAGAGCTGTCCAAGGAAAAGAAAAGGATGCGGAAGAGATGAGTGCCTCAAAAAGTCAGAAGTTACATAAATATCAAACCAGGGAAAGCTCAGTCCCTCACTGATGAGACATTTAGGAATAGAATCCAGGCAGGGTCCACAAGAAAGACAGTTTTAACTAACATCTGCTTTGTTTATAAAGTATAGATATTAACACCTTATGTTCATGACTCAGAATGTCAGATTACAGCACAGATTGACAGCAGTTATCTGTGGCAGGGAGACAATATGTGGCCTTCTCTTCCTTAAAGGAGAAACCAATTTTTTTTGTTGTTGCTTGAGAGAAGAAAAGAGTATTAAGTAAAAATGGTATCAAGGAAAGGAAAAGCCTGGTCCCAAAATAAAAGGACCATTAATTGAAGAGAGCAATAGTACTCTATATTGACACTGAAAAGCATTATCCCTGAGGGCAGGAAGGGCAAGATGGCTGACTGGAGCCAGCCTCAGACAGAAGCTCCCATCGACAGGGAAGGATAATGTCCAGAAAGTACCCAATTAAGCTGAAGACCAGGACCCGAGCTGAGACAGAAGACTGATACCTGCAGGTCACCTCTGCTGAGACAAGCTGCGACTCCAAGAAAACAAATTTCAGGTATAAAATTCATCCCAAAGAAAAGTGTCCATCTCCCAAGAAAGTTGTGTTTTGAAGATGTTAACAAATAGAAAAATATACCATGCTCATGACTGGGAAGAATCAACATTGTTAAAATGTCTATACTACCTAAAGAAATCTACAGGTTTAATGTGATTCCTATTAAAGCACCTCTGTCATACTTTAAAGACCTGGAAAAATTAGTACTTCATTTTACATGGAAACAGAAAAAACCTCGAATAGCCAAGACATTACTCAGAAATAAAAACTAATTGGGAGGAATCACGCTTCCAGACTTCAGACTATACTAGAAATTGATAGTGATCAAAACAGCATGGTACTGGCACAAAAATAGAGAGGTAGATGTATGGAACAGAATTGAAGACCCAGAGGTGAACCCAGACACTTATTGTCATTTGATTTTTGATAACCCTATCAAAAATATAAATTGGGAGAAAGATTCCCTATTCAACAAATGGTGCTGGGTGAATTGGCTGGCGACCTGTAGAAGACTGAAACTGGACCCACACTTTTCTCTTCTAATAAAAATTAACTCTCACTAGTTAAAGGTCTTAAACTTAAGACATGAAACAATAAAAATGCTTAGAGAGAGTGCAGGGAAAATGCTTGAAAAAATTGGTCTGGGAGAATACTTTATGAGGAGGACACCCCGGGCAATTAAAGCAACATCAAAAATACATTACTGGGATCTGATCAAATTAAAAAGCTTCTGCACTGCCAAGAACACACTAAGAAAGCAAATAGCCCTCAGAATGGGAGGATTTTTGCAAGTTACATTTCCAAAAAAGTTCTAATAACCAGAATCCACAGAGAGATGAAACTTATTAGTAAAACAAACAAAAAAAAACCCAAGTGATCCCATTTCACTGTGGGCAAGAGACATGAACAGAAGCTTCTCTGAAGAAGACAGGCACTTGGTCTACAAACACATGAAGAAATGCTCCTCATCGTTAATCATCAGAGAAATGCAAACCAAAACTACTCTGAGATACCATCTAACTCCAGTAAGAGTAGCCCACAACACAAAATCCCAAAACTACAGATGTTGGCATGGATGTGGAGAAAAGGGAACACTTCTGCACTGCTGGTGGGAATGCAAGCTAGTATGTTGCTTTTGGAAGGAAGTTTGGAGAACACTCAGGGATCTAAATGTAGACCTGCAATTCCTCTTCTAGGTGTATATCCAAAGGACCAAAAATCATCTGGCAATAAAGATATTTGCACGGGGCGGCACCTGTGGCTCAATGGGTAGAGCACCAGCTCCATATACTGAGGGTGGTGGGTTCAAACCCAGTCCCAGCTAAACTGCAATAGAAAACTAGCCAGGCGTTCTGGCAGGCACCTGTGGTTCCAGCTACTCGGGAGGCTGAGGCAAGAGAATCACCTAAGCCCAGGAGTTGGAGGTTGCTGT